CCTGATGCTTTTCTTGGTAAGTCCTGTTGTGCATTGTCTATATAGTTGACGCAGTTTTTATCTGGTTCGCATACGTCATTGTATATTGACTGGTTCGACCTGAATAAGGCATCGTATAACGCTATTTCACTGCTACCAGATCGACATGTTCAACACTGCGTGTGTGCATACACAATGGTGATGGTGGCTATAAGCCATCAAGAGTCCACGCTACCAGGACACTACATGCATGTGGTCTATAGCCCTGCTTCCCGGAACGCTACGGTACAATCTTAGAAGCGAATAGCCTCCCACGCAAGCGTTTTTAGGGGAGGGAGGAAATACGACTCCCCAAGAAACGCCCGCGTGGAAGACTAACAGGCGAAGGCCGCTTTCGATAAATGAAAGGACAAATATCTGATCAATAGAAACAGTTGTTGAGAGATTGAGAGAAATTGTTGTTGCCTATCAGAAAAAATACATAAACTTGTTTTTTAAAGTATTTATTCATAACTGCACTGACAAGCCTAATAAAACTGATCACAGGTAATTTTATATGTAGTGTTATTTCTATAACAAGAGTTGTGTAATTAAAACAACAAAAACAAAGTAAATAAATGACGTTGATAACTCAAGTACGTTTTAAGCAAAAGAACAGCTTTTCCGTGTTTGCATAGCCTGATATAAAGACGAGAGGGTTTGGGAGAATTCGAGACAGTTATGCAAACCGGAGACAAAGTCGAGGGTTTGCATAAGGGTCTCCCAACCTCCCGAGTGTTTATATCAGTCTATGCAAACACAGGAAAAAACGTTTTCTATTGCTTTTTTAAATTAATTTCCCCGAGAAGAAAAGCAAAGCTGTTTGTTTAAGGCACTGATTAAAAGGGAAATATTATATTATTCTTATCAGTCGCGAATGTTGTACACGACGAGTTGTACGCGAAATCAGTTCTTGTTTTGCAGAAAAGATACTTTCCAAAAAACTGATTTTTCTAATTGTCAGCTTAAGCGAAAAATTTGACAGAGCAAGTTTCTAAAGATTTTCTAAGTTTCAGCCGACGAGGAAATGGGTAAAGTAAACTTCTCGAGTTTTCAACTCAAGCCCATTTTCAAATTCGTGGTTGCATGATTAGTGCGCGAAAAGCAAAACACTTTGCTTTGCGTTTACATACTCTCATGAAAACGCTCCTCTCGGCCAATCAGAACGCGCATACTAACTTAGTCATTTTATAATTTATTTATTTGTAATCTAAATTTGAAATCTCAAAGTCAAACTCCTTGGTTAAAATATTTATCATAATTTACCTGCAACCACATAGAAGAACCTGTATGATCTTACTTGGCTGAACATGTTCTTGTATTTTTGGGTATTAAAGTGGCAAATTTCCTCCAGGATTTTCTAAACCCACTAGGTTCTTAAACGCGGGTTTCACTGTATCCGGGTAGGTGAATATTTAAGAGATCTACCAATTCTGAACAGCAAGTGGTAACGTTGCGAGTATGCGCGAGCCGCTGGACGGAAGTTTATGGGGGTATTGGATCGCAGCAAAAGCAGCAAAGAAAAATGGCGCCTCTTTTAAAAATTACCATCGTCTTGGTCATCTGTTCTATCTTGTGGAGTGCAGATAAGACAAAGCCTTCTTTGTAATATGCGAGATTGGTCTCAAGGCTAAAAAGTCGCAGATCATTCACAATTTTGCGCCGTTTGTGGTCCATCAGTGATTATTGTTCCGTGTTTTGGTTTGCGCTCGGACACGCCAAGCTCGATGGGGTTCTGTGTAACAGTTTCAAAACTCCTCTATTAAAACACTGGATAACTGGGGAAAAAAAGTCTCTTCATGTAAGTTGTGACCGAGTACAAAACGTCCGACGCTTAAGATTTGAATAAAACGCGGCGAAAAAAAATTCTAAATGCTAGTCTGTTTATATAGTCAAAATTGCAGTTCTTGCGACAATCTCCTTGCAATAATACGATTTCACGTCAGTTATGATGCAGGAACGCCCTGTTGTTCAGAGATGTGCAACCTTAGTGCAGTGATTCTGCCAGTGATTACTTTTCAGAGATACCCCATCCTAACCACCAGTGTCCAGATCAGGTGCAGTGCCCTAATTCTGCGACTGATAAAATTTCAAAGATATCTGCGCACCCAGGGCTATGAAATTGTATGTTTCCATTTTTGACTAGATGATATAAAACTAAAGACCCAAACTGTAGAAATGACATCTATTAAATGTATGTGATGCCGTAACTTATTCAGGGGTGTAGACAGAATTTTGTAATATGGAGGCTCTTGACTCCAACATGCCCCTTGTACTTCTAAAATAAAGAATTAGATGAGTCAAAACAGGAGTGTGGTACAAGATGTTTCATATTACAGATGTGTTTTATTGAGGTAACCCTAACCATGAAAAATCCTTCCCTTTACTGCCCACACTTCTACAAACTAGAAAATTGCAAATATGCACACAACAGTGAAAATACTTCTAAAACTGTATCTAAATATAAATCTTGTTGTTGGTATTTTCTACTGCACACGTGTTAATTATTTAATATATAACTAATAAGGCTTAGCTCCCTTGACTAGCCCATATCTATTTGGGGCCAAGTTCTTATGATTTGAAGATTAAAAAATTGAAAATGAGAGAAAATTAGCTCTAACTTTTCCTTTTCATTCAATTACAACATGAGCAGAACTTAAGGATCTTAAAGCCTGATATTTATAAAGTCTGAGTTTATGGTAGCTTCAAGTGAGGCAATGTATGACTTAATAATTAAAGCTTGTCTATGTGTCTTCTGGGGCACCAAGGCTATTTGATGCAGTTCAGGATGGAGTGACACACCCTTCACATTCTGCAGACAGCATAGGGTTAAATAAAAAAACAGACAGTCCCCATTTTGTACCAGCTCTGCCATGGCTTAAGTGAAAAGTGCATCTGGTTTGAATGTGACGATGCAGTCGTCCTCAATGACTATCACCTGAATCAACAACGTTTAGTGCTGAGCATCTCATAGGGAGCTCCTACAACAGGCAAAAGGCAAATGAAATTTTTCATAACTTGTCATCTTGCAACACCAGGAGCATCAATGAGCTTATTTCAGGGGCAATTTTACATAAATTGCAACTTGTGCAGCCTATGATAGATGACTATATACACTACTACTGTGTATACAAAGCCAAACTGACATTGGCAAGCCAAGTGCTCGTAAATTCATGTGCACAAACACTGAATATATGAGACCCAGAGTATCAAAAGAATTATTTTTATCGGAGATGGAAAAGTTACCCCTTTGGCATTTTGTTGTTGCCCATTACTAGCGATACCCCTTTAGATATTCAGGATTTTTAAAGTGTCATGGATACGAATTTATATTCAAGAAGGAAAGAAATCTTTTGGATAGAAAACGAATGATAACATTTATGATTTTTGTGAGCATACAAATACATTGTATGTGATGGAGCTAATTCTTACATGTATGTGGATGCCAATGCAAGGAATCAAATTCAGGGATTTCATGTCCAGTGTTGTCTGTACTTCAAACAGGAATGGCAGTCCAGCAAGTGCAAAGCTGAACAAGGGCAAGAATTGTTTTGCGCTTGAACTTGTGCTAGTGTCAAAGTGGGAGTAATATCGTAATGGTCATATGAAAATGCATTAAATCACACTTATCATATTTTATAGTAGGGCAGGAAAAAGAATGCACAATATGTGTATTTTCATATTTTATATTGATTTCAGTTATGTTTCAAGACATTATGTAAACATTTTAAGCATAACATTAAAATTCTTTTCGGCGCCAATTTTGTATGTATATTAAACAAATCATCATAGAATAATTATCAGAATAAAGTCACTGAAATGGTGAGGGTTCTTGTCAATGAATCTGAGAGCTTACAGTGCATAATTATTAAAACGCAAATTCATCAGTGTTCCCCCCCTTGGATGCAAAATCAAACATTCAAGAATGAAAGAGTGTTCCAAAACAATGCTTTTACAAATAAGTTTTGGTGGGATATACTTTTGCATGTTCACGAAAAATGTGAAAACAAGGTTGAAAAGGACAAGAAAATTCGTCTATCTTTAACGAAGTTTTAGCAAATAATATTTCGCAAACCACCGTCTCGATCTCTTAATCTCTGAGAATAAGTAATCGCCATAGAGCGCCAATGTAAACCAGAAAAGCAAATTTTGTAAAATAGAAGGAAACATCCGACTACGGCCTTACTTGTAAGAACAGGAAATTTGCTTGTTGATTTCATGCCGCTAAATAGTATCAAAATACTCGAACTTCCCCCCTTTCAATTAACCATTAAAAGTGAAAATACGGAGTGACCAAAAGAGAAGTTTAACCTGTTTAGTCGCTTGTGTGGGATATATAACTGGATCTCGCTGTACGGTCAGGGTCAAATACTACAAAAATACGGGGGTCACATAAATTACGTTGAATTCAGGCTGCTATAATTTTAACACATAACACTCGATGATGCTGCTCCATATTTCACAAAGTAAATCAAGTGGTATATCTTACCTAAATGCTAGGCAGCTCTGCAGATCATGCACGATAACCCAGAAATCAGTGACCGCTTGAATGTCAACAAATCAACATATCACAACAAACGACCTCGTGAACGCTTTCTCTGCTTCATCAGAGGAGCCAAATGGATGAAAATTTACCAGGTAAATGGTCCTTCTCCCGTACATGACACTTCAACATGGCTTAGCCAAAGTATCCAAGCTATACGACATGTCTGCTGTTGATTGGGTATGCAAAAAAATCTCCATTGAAAGAGCTTCAGAACAGCTTTCTGCCATTACAATTTCCGGTCAAAAAGTGCTTCCCAGCAAGCTTGACGCATGCGCAAACGTTACCACTTGCTGTTCCAATTCTGGGGGCTTAGATATTCTTCCATGTTCATTCCCAAGAGCTATGGTCTCGAGGGATTTATACGAATTAACGATTTATAATTTTTATTTAATTGTTATCATCATTATTGTCTTTATTTTCTTCAGTGATAGACACATATGGTAAACAAAGAAGAACTGAAGATCAACTGAGATTGACAAAGGAGCAACTGAGAGTGAAAGAAGAGCAGCTTAAAATAAATGAGAAGCAACTGCGAGAAAAAGACAAGCTAGTGATGGAGAAAGATAAGCAATTGAGAGAGAAAGATAAGCAAGTGAGAGTGAAAGATGAGCAACTTAAAGTAAACGATGAGCAACTACAAGAGAGAGATGAGCAATTGAGAGTGATAGAAGAGAAACTGAGAGTGAAAGAGGAGCACCTTAAAACAAACGAGAAGCAACTGCACGAAAAAGACAAGCAAGTTGAGGAGAAAGATGAGCTACTGAGGATGACACAAAAGCAACTGAGAGTGAAAAATGAGCAAAAACAGCGTTTACAAAAACAGTTGATCACTTTAGAAGGTGATAAAAAGAAAGAAAGCGCTCAATTCCAAGAACAGTTAAATGTGAAGGTGCAAGAACTGACCGACTTACGAAAAGAGTTAAGAGATCGTGAACAAGACAACGTTGTACTCGAAAAAGACCTTTCCACAACTAAAGAAAAATTAACTGAATATGAAAGTCAGTTAAAGGCACGTGACTGGGTCCTTTGCCGAGATGAAGTTCAGTTAAGTAATGAACGTCTGGGGGTGGGGTCGTTTGGACGAGTTGTGAAAGGTAGATATTGTGGGTGTGTGGTGGCTATAAAACAACTTCATCTGCCAACTCTTAATCCGCGACAGCGCCGTTTGTTTCAACGGGAAATGGATATAGCCTCAAGATGCCGTCATCCATGTTTGTTACAGTTCATCGGGGCTACCGAAGACGAAAGTCCCTTGTTTGTTACGGAAATCATGGAGACAAGTTTACAAAACTTGTTACAAAAGCGGAAGCAAAAGAATCATCACCTCACCGAGACTGATACCATTTTTATATCTTTGGATGTTGTTCGAGCCCTAAACTACCTTCATCAACGAAAACCTGAGCCAATTGTACATCGTGATGTGAGTAGCGCTAATGTGTTGCTGTGGAAACAGAATAACCAGTGGAGAGGCAAACTGGGGGATTATGGAACTGCTAAATTTCTTCAAGAAACTATGACAGTTGCTCCTGGAGCTATGATTTACGCCGCGCCTGAAATAGGTTGTCCTTTCAAGCAAACTGTGAAGGTAAGTCTATTATATGGAATCAGTTTGTAAAGTAAAGTTTAATGACTTTCTTTTAATCCAGTGTAGATTGAGCAATTGTCTCAATATGAACAACACTAATATCTATTTCAACCTCTCATGTAGTTATTATAGCTGTAAAAGAATGTTGTGTTTCGTACTGGTGTCACCACTGACGCCAGACTTTTTTTTTAAAGAGCAATTTCAGGAGGGTTGTGAAAATGTACATTTTGTTTTGCTTCTATGATTTTTTCCGTCCTATTTTTCTGTGAAATTATCTAATGCAGTGTTTATTCGTTATTTTAGTTATCCAAGCAAAAACGAGAAATAATACCTTTTCAGGATCCCGATATCGAAATTTAGCAGCCTTTGCCTCTATAACGGAGCCATCAGGCAAAATAAACTTCACTGTAACTGTTCGTGGTGAAGTATTGGCTATGGTGAAGCATATTTCAAGGCCATCGACTGGCCTACAGTAGAGAGATTTAGGGTGAACGTTTATGGCAAACGTAAACGTCAGATTCAAGTTGCCAATTTCTCACAATAGAAAACGAGCAGACAAAAATAGTCCAAAACAACTTTTATGGATAAACCTGTGTAGAAGTAATGAACAATAGAAGACAAGTAAATGGAAAGCTTGGTTACGTGCCGGTGTTACATTTCGTGCTTTCCGTTTGCCGTAAATGTGACTATTAGAGACCTTAAGATTGAGGTTTTTCGGTGGTTCCCGCCACTGCGAACGTCGAATCACGTGACTAGTGCCTTGCCGTCAGGTTGGCGATTTAAGGCGTTTGTACGGCTGGACCACGCTCTAGGGGATTTACCACAAGCTTTTTTGCACCCTAACACATCACAATCCCACGTTTGAGAGGTATACCACGGTTAATAACTCTTTTGCTTATTAATTATCGAATTCTTTTTCATCTGAACCTAATTTTAGAGACGATCTCTCAGCTAAAATTGCAGTCCATGAATTAATCAAATAAATGAAAACGAACATGGCAGCCGCCAGCTACCACCCGTTAATCTTAAGATACAAATATGAGCAGACGGCTAATGTGAAACCGCTAACCGCGGTTTACCCTGTTTGCGGTAAGATGGCCAAACCTCGATGTTAAAGTCTCTATTGTCAGGTTCCCACCCTCAGCAGAGATATTGGGCATGTGAAAGTTTCATGACCTTTTGTAGCGTAACAGGAACAGATACCAAATAAAACCGAAGATGTACTTAATTCAGGTAATTTGTTTTGTTGTCTTAGATTGATGTTTACAGTTTTGGAATTCTCTTCTGTGAAATGTGCACCGGGGAACTGCCAGAACCTGAAAAGCGGGAGGAACAAGCGAGACTGGTAACTAACAAGAAGTTTGGGGAGCTGATATTGTGGTGTATTGAAGAAGATCCAGAAATGAGACCCAGCATGGAAGAGGTTATTGAGAAGCTGGAGCAGTTAAATAACAAGTCTTAATGGTGATTGCTGACAACAGTTATGGAAGAACGACATAGCAGTTGGAATTTCAAGGCAGAGAACTCGGTACATGCTAACATTATGATGCTTCCATCACCGTATTACTTTATAGCAACTTATGACAGATACAGTATGCTCAAGGTATAAGCCAAAAACGATTATAACAACGGTTATTACAGTAGGGACCTTGCGACATGAGTCCGGCGACACCAGTGAAAACGTCACTGAAGAACTTCGCGTCCAGCTTTCAAAATTTTCGGATTATTCCAACTCGTTCAGTGTTTTAATAAGATACAATAAAATTAAATTGGTCGTCTTGTCGTTCACGTTCTCAAGAAAACTTTAAATTTGGCCATTTCACGTCGTAGTTGTGTAGGGACCTTAAAGAAATTGACAGGAAAGCTTATGCAGATGCATACAGAGTAGTTGTTTAATCTTTGCCCTGGCACCGTCGTCTTAGCGTTGTAAGGTCCCCATTACTTTATAAGAGGATCGGACTAGCTTGATTAATGCTTGTTATACAAGCCGCTTTTTATTTTCTGTACAGATTTAGTCTGAGAAAACAGACGAATTTGCGACGCCACTACTAGTTTCCCCTCGAATGACAACTGAGGAACGAGCGCAGAAATACGCATGTCAACCGGAAGTGGACTTTTTGCACTCTTCGACCGTGATTTTAAACAAACCTTTGAGGAAATCGTCCTATAAGAGTAAAGCCACTTAGCCATACAAATATGTTGGCGTCAAGGCATTAAAAGAGAAATAAAGCTCACTTCCGGTTGACTTGCGTTGCTCAAAACCAGATCTGGGTAGTAATTCTGATTGGTCGTGCAGCGAGGGAAATTCACTTCAACCCATCAGAAGCACTGCTTAGAAATGGGTGGTGACACGTCATCAGTGTGGAGTTTATTCGATCGTTTCTCAGACGTCATTTCGCGGGGAAACCAGTGGTGGCGTCGCGAAATGTCGGCTGTTTTTTCAGGTTTTGTACGGAACTACACTGTACCTGATATTTATAGTTTAAAATTAAATTTACATGTTACTTAAAGTGTTTTGTTGTTAAGAATACAGTTTACAGAGTAGTTATTGACTGAGGTATTTGTAGTGAAAAGATAATTGAAGTTGAAGTGCCCCTAAGAAATTTGTTGATTCCGACGAAACGCGATTTTTTTTTTTCCTTCGAAATTTGCTGCATTAGTCTTCTCTCGGTCGGACCGGAGCAGTGACGTAGTCGTGACGTAGGTTCAGGAAGTCTTATTTCTCTCAAGCCAAGTTAATTGGTTGTATCTGTCTCGATCTTGGAAAATATACCGTAGAAATGGGCAGTTTTACAGTCATGTTCTCAATGCCCTTGTCGTTGCATGGAAGCAAGGATTGAGGTGAACTTGTTTATTTACAAACCTTCCTGCCTTTCACGCGCAAATCGTGTTATTCTTAAGCTAACCAGCTCGTGAATATGTGTAACAACAGAAAGGTTTGTAACAAAGCAAGGACACTACCATCCTCCCTTCTTTTGAAAGGCCAGGCCACTAAGCACACACATGAAAACTGGTCTATTCGCCATTTGCACATCTCCCATAATACACCTTGTTTGACCCCCAAAATTTACATAAGCCTTGTCTTCAATTTCTCTGGGGACCGCCCAGAAAATTAAATTTGCATATAAGTTAGGTATTTCTAGTTATGAAAAAAAGTTCCATTACTCAAATAAGAATACAATTTACGGGGAAGTAAGGTCTCAGAGTTAAGAATACAATTTCGTAAGTTAAAATTTGTCATAATGATTAAAGTTTACGTAGTAATTACAAAGCAGTTAGGCATTTGTATATATCGAAGAATTGTGTAGTATTTGTTCAATATATGTTTTGTAGATAGATCGATTTTTATTATTTCTATTATCTATAGTTTTAAAAATTACGCTGTTCAAAGTAAACAAGTTTTAATGAAGTACTGTAAAACCAAATGCAAATAATTACTCCAGTTAATCACAAACGGCGCGGACAATTTATTGAAGAAATGAGACCGGGAAATACAATACATAGCTGATGCTCAGTCATACGCGGGAAAATATGAACGAAGAAACGAGTGGTATCCACTTTTTTCTGATTGTTCGAGTGCTGGTAATTTTTGAACCTATCACAAAGAGAACGTGCTTAAGGAAACAGATAGGCGTTAACTGAAAAGTATTCTTTGAGTGAGTCTTTTTATTTTTGCAATATATTTTCATAAGTATAGAGAGCATAGTTTGTTATAAGAAATTATGAAATTTTATATTTTACAGTCTACATTGTGTAATTAACTTTTACGGTATGTAGCAGATATGACACATCATTGTAAAACATGTTTTTGCTGATAGTATAATAGAATGGATATACATTTTTAAAACTATTTTTATTTATCATCTAACGTCCATTATGCTGTTTAACATATTTTGTATAACTGACAACAGTCGAACAATGGGTCCTCGCTGCTCCGGGTAAGTGACTCTACTATGAATGTGAGGTGCGCGCTTGTCGGTAAATTAGAATATAGACTTCCAAGAGATCACTAATGTCCAGGATCGATCTTGTTAGCAAAAATTTTGCAAACAAGTTCTTTTCGCAATTTTAGCAAAAAAGATGTAAAGAAAACTGCTATCAGAAAAGTATAGAAGAAATAGCAAATTTCGCAAAAATCGAAAAAGTAACGAGAATTTTTCTTGCTATGTGAAAAGATTGAGCAACAAATATGGCAACAATAGCAAGAACAACAAATTTAACAAAATTCTACACTTCCTGGACATATCTCTATGAGAAGATAACATTCTATTGCCTATGGCAGTGTCATTACATTTATCGTTGATTTATACACCCCTGGATTATGAAATACAGCAGTCCAACGACCCCTATTGTAATACCACTTGAGGACTTTTCCCCAGTGTCCTGTACAGCTTTCTCAATTCTGATTGGATTGGGGCAGCAGATAACAGTGACGACTACTACAAGGACCCTTGCTTTATAACTGGCATAGTTTTATTTGTGGCAGGCTTTATCATCAATCGCTTCGCAGACTTATCACTTCGCAAGCTAAGAACAAACTATAGTGAAGGTTACTCCATTCCGCATGGCTGTTTATTTGAAGTCATATCATGCCCTAATTATTTTTGTGCAATGCTGGAATGGTTTGGTTGACCTTTGGAAACTTGGTCCCTAGCCGGGTTATTCTGGTTTTTATTCAGCAGTGCAACATTTGTTCCCCGCGCGAGGCATAATCACCAGTGGTATAAGAACAATTTCCTGATTATCCAGCTGATCGAGAAGCTTTGATACCATTTGTGTATTAAAAAGACAGAGAAGCAAATTATTGTGAAAATTCCTTTAAAATTCCCAGTTAAAGCATTAGAGTGTTCTCCTTATCAGGCGGTAACCGGTAAAAGTTACCGCCTGATTTTTCAATGAAGTAACGCTTCTAACTGCCTGCAACCGCTTGAAGGTTTAAGTAGTATAGTTACAGGTTGTGATCCGATTCGATCAAGAAAATGAATTGAAAAGTACTAAGGTATACACAGTTTATCATTTTATTGGCCACACATTTTAGAAAGAGAACATTATTAAAAGCAGAGTAAAATTATTGGAATCAAACGTTTCAAATTGTTGTCTAAAGATAACAATGGACGATTTGCGTAAAGTAGGTCTTGCAATGAGGGAATGACGTTTGAAAGAACTTAGCTCGTCCTCGGGTGGGGCCATGTCCCTGACTCCAATACCCCCTCCCCCCTCCAGGAAAGTGCACCTCTGGATCATATTCTGTGCCTACCTGCTGAGCTCAAATGTAAGGAGACTGACATTGAGCAAGAAAGTCAAGCTTTGGAAAGAAAGCCCAAGGCTTTGTATACTGACAAAAATATTATGTGAGTATAGAATTATTCGTAATAATTAACTCCGCTAAACATTCAGCTGACAATTTCTTTCTTTAAGCAAAAAAGGTGAAGATCTGACGCAACCAATAGTGTTAAAAAAATGACCTGTTAGCAACTCATGAAGAAAATGAAAAACATTTAATTTAATGGGTGTTTTTAAATTTGTGAAAATGTGACTGTATTTTTATTCCTCCAAATTTCTGGGAAAAATTATCATAATGAATTAGTGATAAGATCTAACAGATCTAAAGAAACAATTTTTATGCCTTTCAATATTAAACTCACAGTTTAATGTCTTGTCAAGTTGAAAACTCTGAACTATGTCTTGTGTTCTTAACGTGGTAAAACACTTCTACTATTTTTAACTAGTCAAATAAAATATTAACTTCTCAAATAAAATATCTGAGTGCATAAACTTCGGTTGTCTTGGTCATTAAAAACAACTCTTTGCCCCCAATTAGTCAGCTATGGAAACATGATCCCAACGAATGCATAAGATTCTGGAGAACTGCTCACCATCCGCTTCCGTTATGCGACATTTTGCCCCAATTAAAAGACAGTGCATTTACAGCGGTTTAATTTAGCGATTTAAAGATCAAGGTATGTGAAAAGGGTAACATCTGTCAGTAGAAGGTATAAGTAATCGGTTCCTGACGAAAGGGGTACCTTTTTCCGTGAAAAACGATATATGAGACGTTAAGGGTTTGGACCACGGAGCGGAGCCTCCCCGTATAAGTATTTGTTGAGTTACTTGAGTACACCCTCCCCGGAATTTAACCGGAGGAGACGGATAATCAAAGAAGGATGAAATTTTCCGTCCAAATTTGAAAAAGGAATAAAACATACGAGTAGAATGAAGCCGATTCATAGGTGGTATTTGAAGGGTCCTTAGAAATAGGGTTGATGTGCGCCTAGCGCCTAACGCGTTTTCAAAACTGATAAATTTTAATTTAAAAATGCCCAGTTTCGGTTTAAAACGGCTGAAGGTTTTCTTGCAACCATCCTTGTTCCCAGGGTCCTCTCCTACCGAGAGGTACTAAAAAAAAATAAAGAAAAGCAAAAGGTCAAGAAATAAAATAATGACTGGGTCTTAGATATATAAAACATACACGGTTTGTCGGCTTTTCTTATCTCATAGTCACTTCTATTGATCCTGGATCAATAGAGTTGTTTGCAAGGGAAGTGAAAGAGCTGTATCTACATGCAAAAGCTTCATTAGAGAGCCCAAATGCTGACAGCGAGGACCTGGGCACCATCAAAATTAAGATGGAGGCTGCAGTGCAGCACTTGAGAAGACTGGAATGGGCGTTGGACCTTACCAGACCTTTTGGAGGGGATCTCCTTGAGCTGATAATAAACCAGGTTAAACAATTGGAATGTAAAATCGGCGAGATGATTGAAACCTTCAACGGCTTAATACCATTGTTGGCAGACGAGCTGCGCTACAGGGCCCCAGTAACTGCTACCAGATCCGTTGGCCGGCCATCATTCATTATCACAAAAGAACAACTCGAAATTATGCGATCGTATGGCTTATCGTGGATGGACATAGCGAAGGCACTTGGTATGTAAAGATCTTTGTTTGTTATATTTCAAACACAAGAAAAAACGTTTCGTGGGTAGACTTTGTACGTAGGAAAGGGTGTGGGTTGGTATTGGTTTGGGTTTAGTTGAGACTTTAAGAGACCCAGTCAGCTAGATATATATATCATGCATGAATGATAAGGTTCTCACTATATTTCGTGTCTTTTTCAATTTGTCTTTCTCGTCTGTTTACGTTCTCCAGGCGTTTCAGTTTCAACCATCTGGAGGCGCCGAGCGTATTTCCAGATCCGACGAAGTAGACATAGAGGAAGGAGGGAGATTACTATGACAGAATTGAAGGAGATAATAGCACGAATAAAAGAAACGGCGGTCGACGCGGGAATCATTATGATAGAGGGGGAATTGTCCGGACAAGGCCTGTATGCCTCTAGGGTAGCGATATCTGAGGCACTAATGACCTTGGATCCGATCGGGGCAAGCTTGAGATGGCGAGATTTCACATCTAGAGTAAAATATAATGTTCCAGGTAATTGTGTGACGTGGATACGATGCCCCGAAGAAGAAGTAGACTACTTCATTAGGCAACAAACCCATTAATTTTTGCACTAACTTTAGATTACACTGTAGAACATCCTGTAAGCGACTACCCCTTTACGCAAAAAATTCAGCGGTCACTTAGGTGAGGAGGTCGAGGGAGATCTTTTCCTACTAGACGTCCGAATAAACCTACTTTCTTTAACACAAGTTATCGTATACAATTTTAAGGTTACGATAAAAGTTCTACATATCCTTTTAGCGTATGAACGAAAGCCAATCGGTTGCTTACTAAAGTTGAAAACCGGCGAGGCAAATTATAAAACGGTTACCCCAAAAAAGTGGACACGGTCGCTTTCCAGAGGTTTCAACCATCAAGTTTTGATTGTAAGGTTTTTCATTTTTATTTGGACATAAAGTCGCTTATGGCAGTTGAGCGAAAGTTACCTTATTACTGGCCAATTCTATGTGCTTATCTAACATAACATAACTTTTATATAAAACAGAAACACGGAAGATTTTCTGCTCATTCCGATTTCCCTCATTCCACCCCATCCTCTTGTATAATTTCGCGCTTCTGTACTTGCACGAGTGAATAAATAAGGCCAAGACGATGAAAAAGAGAAAAAAAAGTTACAAAGGTTTATTGTGGTCGAAATTCCAAGACTATAAACTATATTTACAGAAGTATAAACTTTTTTTCAGGACCTAATAGTCTTTGGCATCTTGACGGAAACCATAAGCCTATGAGGTAAAGATGAGTTTGTGTGGCAAAAAAATTAAAAAATTAATCAACAGAACTTTATTTGCAATCGATAAAATCACCATAGCAATAATAATGATAATCCTTTTAGTCTGAGAACGTCATGTATGTATATTATTCCGAGGAATTATAATTACTCTACTGCAGTTTTTCTTTTCTTTTGTGTATAGTTTTTTTACAAGACTCTGATAAACATGTTGTTCATAATAATGATAATATTAATAATAATAATGATGAGAATAATAATAATAATTATACCAATTCCAAATAGAGTGAATCTTCATGTGGACAGGATTTCTTGAAGTGACCCCTTTCCTGTTTTGCAGGTGGAGGTTAGTCATTCACGGGGGCATAGACGGGTATTCGCGTTTAGCGGTTTACCTTAAATGCTCGGATAACAACAGAGCTGAGACAGTTGGGAATTCGTTTCTAGCTGCTGCCGAAGAATACTGTTGGCCTTCCAGAGTAAGAACAGACAAGGGTGGAGAAAATGCTGTGGTTGCTCGCTTGATGATAGAAAGGTGGGGAGAAGGACGCGGGAGTATACTTCAAGGGAGCTCCGTCCATAATCAAAGAATTGAGCGGCTTTGGAGAGACGTGAGGAAGATGGTCTCGGAGTACTATAGACGGTTGTTCTATTTTCTCGAAAGCCATCTTCTACTCGGCCCGATAGGAGAAGTAGACTTATTTTCCTTACATTTTGTGTTTATTCCAAGAATAAATAACAGTTTGAGTCAATTCAGAGCTTCTTGGAATAATCACAAATTATCGACGGAGGGAAAAAAAAAACTCCAAATCAACTTTACATTCTTGGAATGCTTCGGTTGTTTGGTTCAAACTACATTGCTGTCAAAGACTTCTTTGAAGAGAATAGAGTTCCTGAAAACTACGGGATTTCCGAGCCAGAAGAGGTAGACGCGGTAAACAAAGATTCCAACGGAGCGGTTGTCTTACCGCGAAATGCAATTCAAATGTCACCAGATTGCCTAAGAGAGCTACAGGCCACGGTCAACCCTCTCGAGCAAGACGAGAACCATGGAATTTCTCTTTACCTTAAAGCTAGGGAAATAATTACTCGGTCTACCCAGGTAGAATGAACTTAAGAGTAGATTAAAGGTCGTGGAATGGATGCCAGTGGGGAAGGGGTGGGGGCGGGGCGGGGCGGGGCGGTATTTGAAAGAAGGGCGTTTTGTAAAATTCCGCCACTTTGGCGAGCAATAATATATATCCTGGCCAGCAAAAAATTTTGTCCGTTTACTTATTTTGAGGCACTATTTCAATCAGTGTCGCTTGAATTTTTCACCGGAATGAAACTTGAAAAAGGCTAGCCAACATTACAATCCATTTACATCCAAAGACCGCATTAGAGACTTTACCGTATTTTCTTTGCTCAGGCTTTATACAATCTTTTTCATTCACGCCCCACGTACACATATAAACGGAATTTTTTTGCCCTCCCTTTAGCTGCGTATCCGCCTGTATAACTTCGTATTTAGTGTCTTACAGCTAGATGAAGAAGAAACACATGATGTTACGGGAACAGAGGGCAAGAGCACTGGATTTCTTTACAAATAGTAATATGAATCAAATAAGTTGATATTGACTATACACATTAAATCATATGCAATAAATTCACACGACTGCATTTTATTGATGTCAACGTACCAATAGGTGTCGGGCCCTAGCTAGGATAAACTTTATACATACGGGTACACGAGTGTTACTAATTAATTAACGCCACCCCACCTTCCGCTATGAAAAAAAATTTAAAAAGAATGAAACTATAAAGGGGCAGCGTGATCGTTGTCGTTTTTGTGGGAGGTGGTTATGGAGCGGGGTGACGTTGAGGTTAACGTAAGAATGAAAGAAATATTGGGAAAACCGTTATACTAAAAAAAAAACAAGTTTTAGTAGACTAAGTTTTCTTTGCGATCGAGGACTATGTGGTGTTTGTGTACCAATTTTTTCTTTCCAGAATCTCAAAAACAGTATCGACATTATTTATTATTCGAGTATTTTTCCAATTTTCCACAGCTATTAACACCTCCTCCAACCCTGCACCTCACAACAAAACAGGAATTTTGATTTGAAGCACATAAATTAAGCAACATTTTTTTGTAACAAGTCAAGAGGCACAAGCCAAGATGTACATAGTTAAAGACAATTTACAAGAAATTTAAAAGACAATTGCAAATTGTACATATTTAAAGATGAATGTTAAACGAAAAGAAGTATTTTCGTGATTTACTTTTCTTGTTTTATTGCACTTTGCATGCGCTATATAGTAAGTGCTGAACCTAAGTCTTTTTTTAATTATGAAAACAGGACTGAAAAGGTATTTCGGCTGGCGCAACCACAAACCTCAAAAGGAAGAAGAATCTCTTCTCAAACAGAAACCGAGTGTATTGTGTTTTATTAATTACTGAGTAAAAGTAATTACACAAGGTGACATACAACTGAAAAAATGAACGAATAAGATTTTACGAAACAAAAACAAGTAAATTAACTAAGACCTAAATAATCGAAATACACACTGTAACTTAATTAATTTTGACAAAAAAACGTTATGAAATAAAAGTAATCAAGGCTAAAATAGTTAGTGATAACTGTCAGTTTTATCTACAAATCAAAACCAACCCATCTATGCATACGGTGCTTAGCAAATGAACCAGTATATATAAAAAAGACCCATTGCCAAGATTGACTGAGGGTGGTGGGGATGCAAGTTTTAAAAGTTGTAAATGAGTAAAAGTACAAGTAATATATAATTTTGTTGTAGTTATTTCATATTTTCAGTTTATTTTCATTTTTCCATAGTTTTTGGCTAAGATAACGTATGCTAATTTGAAACAAAGAGAAAGCAAAAACTAAATGAAATAAAAATTTGACTGCTTCATATATAAATACACAACTTAAAATGTGTATATTTAATAGCACTAAAAATGAATTTAGAACCAGTAAANTTGAAACAAAGAGAAAGCAAAAACTAAATGAAATAAAAATTTGACTGCTTCATATATAAATACACAACTTAAAATGTGTATATTTAATAGCACTAAAAATGAATTTAGAACCAGTAAAGCATTTCAAAAGAATGACATCAACATCATCATTATTAATATTAATTGTTGTTATATAATATTACTATTTATTACCATTACATTATTACATTATTGTTATTATTGTTAATAACATTATTATTATCATTATTATTATTATTTTATTGATATACATTTCTTTATTATTAAAACTATACATGCGCTATATAGTGAGTGCTGAATCTAAATCTTTGTTTAATTATGGAATCAGGACTGAAAAGATATTTCGGCCGACGCAACCATGGACATTTCGAGGGGCCGGAAATCAGAAAAATCCCGACAGCGATGTGGGCGTGGGTTTGGGATAGCAGAACTAAGGGTCCAGTCGCCGGTAGGAATTCAGACATCAGAAATGAAACTCCTGGGCTGCTGGTAAGAAATGAATCCGGAGATCGTAATTTAGATTTCGAACCCGAGATTAAGGTCTATTTTCGTGGACGCAGAAACCCGACACCCGATGGCTAAATCACTTCCGACCCCGTGAATTGAATTTCGATCCCGAGATTAAGTCTGTTTACGGGCCCGTTACTGGTAAGTAAAGAAACCGACCCCGCTTACTCATTTCCGGCCCCGTGAATTGTATTTCCGAGGTCGGAAATATCCCAGAATAATTTTGAACGGTTTTTTTAAACCATAATATAGAGCTCTGGATGACCCTTGCAAATCATACTTTCCACGCACGTTCGGCCTGAAGTTTTCGGACATCTTTTTCGGCTTAACTTTACTGTAGTTAGATTAGTTAGCGGGGTTCCTCGGGATGGTAAGGGCCGCCCCTGCCTTTTTCATAAGTTGGGTTTCTTTGTAGTTGTTCGGTCAGCGACATAAGTTCGGCTTTTAGGATTCGGCTTGGCTTCTAGGAAATGATTCGGCCGCGTTTTTTGCGCCTTTTTCGGATGGACTCACCGCCGGTTTTCTTCTTTGTCAGCGTCGTCACTGCAGTCTCCCGCTTAGTTGCGCCAATTTCAATTCATCACACTTCACTTGATAGTCATTGCGCTGGGCAAGTGAAGCATTCGTTCGCAAGGTTCAACCAGACTGATTATTTCAATACGTAACTTAGTATACTAAAGACGTAAGACCATCCAGCTGCAGTGAGGGGACCTCATTTGGCCTCTGCTTACAGGCTCAATCGTCTCTCTGGTTACAGGTAGATAGTCAGGTTAGTTTCGCAAATTCGAGTCTGATCCTACCTCTGTACCAAATGTTAAGCAATACCATATGCGAAGCGAAAAGTATTAAATGCGCGTTGATTTTCAGACTTCGAACTTGTGGGGGTAGCCAGTTGACAGGTTTAGTCTTACAAAGAAGGTAATTTGCGACCAGGCGTTTCTTCCCGCAAAGAGCCAACACCTTGTTGCAAGTTGCCAGGGCAACATGGGACAATCCACACACCACAGGCTAGATCGTTTACAAATCGTAAGCGTAGGAAGTCTTCGAGACCAATCTTCGACGCAGTTTCATCGCTGGAGGAGCACTAACGAGCCGATCGGCCTTTAGGCAACGTTTTCTTAGTAGCCTGCGAAGTTATTACGAGAATGCTACTTGGCCGAATATTTCGGGGACACACATGTGGAGGCCCACCATAACTTGATATACGTGTCCCTGAATGGCGTTCAGGTGAAAACCTCGCAGGTTATAGATAGTCCTTCAGTAATTAAGTAGCTAGAGAGGATAATCTGGCGTGGCATCGTTGACATTAAGACGATTTAGTTTGTCTCCTTGTTAATTTTGTCTTGCTGGAGAGTTTTCTTCTTCGGAAGTCCTGCGTTGCACAACGCAGGCACAGATCGTCTAAAAATGGTAGGCGTACGTAGTCTTCACGTCGACCGTTCGTGGCTATTGGTTTCTTTTTTCCTGATCGGAGAGTGGCCTGCAGTGTACTACCCCGACAGCTCTTGTGTATTTACTTTGTTTTTCCTTGAATCTTGTAACAAAAAATATTTGCTTTTGGACATGTGAATAAAATGCTTTTGAACGTATTGTATGTGATTGAATTGTGGGTCCATTGCTACATCAAGGGAAGAGCCGGCCGAAGAAAGAAGAACAAGGAACCTCCAGATGTACAGAAAGATAGTCCAGTTAATTAAGTAGGCGAGGTAGCTGCCTTTGCGGGGATAAATTGAGAAGAAGAAACATATAGACCAATCCAGACAATGATGATGATGACGACAACTATGATGTTGATGTTCTTTTGCACTAAGACGTCATTGTGCTTCTACTTAAGGTGATTCCATAGTAAAAGAACCTAAAATAGATTTTAGCTAAAACTTGGTACACTGATGTAACAAGTCAAGAAGATGATAAAAAAGTAATAAAAAGTGGGGGTCACCGTGCTCGTTTTGACGTCACAATGCTGACAAATTTAGGCTATTTAGGACCCTTTTACAAAAACCGCGGGCAGCGCAAAACTAGACAAAAAGGAGAGATTTTTTCGATGATGCATGTGACATCACACAGAATTTGACTTTAATATTTTGTTTATCCACTTAAGTACCAGAAAAAATGCCTTTTAATGCCCTTGTTTTTACTTTACGCTCCAAAGTAGAATTAAATTGGACGCGCGCTTTTCGACCCGTGATGGCTCAATCCGTACAATTTAGTAAAATTGCCAAAAAACTGAACATAGATTTGTGCCAATTTTTTCCTCATCGAAAGGAAGCACTGTCCTTATTAAAATCATGAAATAAAAAATGGGGGTCACCGTACTCGTTTTTGCGGTAGAGCTGCAGAAAGTGCGCACCAAACGCATTTTCTCCGATTTTTGAGAGAGGACTGGGGCGAGTTTCAAAATAGAATGTATGTGAAAGGGGGAAGAAG